ATGCTTTGATGAGTGAAGAGTTTTGGTCGAGGAGATGGCTAATTTATAGGAGAAACAAATACGATCCTTTATCAAAAAAAAGAAAAGATCTTATAGAATTATTTTTTAGAATATCTGTAAACAACAATTATTTCATAAAACAAAATCACTATAAGCATAATTAAGATTCTCTTGCAGTAATAATTATGGAGATGAAAAAGAAGCTTTTATTGTATTGTATGAGAAAAGAAATATCATGTACAGTTGTGTAAGAAAGAAATATCATATACAGATGGATCGTCCATCACTTGCAAATAACGCCTAGTTGTAAATATAAGTATATATTTTTTCATTTCGTAAAACAAAAAATTATTGTTTTTTTTTTTCTTTGGGGTTAACTGAGGAGTTATAAATCGGAGTCTGTACATTTCTATATTGGAACTCTAATAGCCTCTCCCAAATGAAAATCAAATTATCGATATAGGTACCACGAGTTTACAATTGAATTATCGTTTAATAAAATCATTATAAACTGAAAACAAACTATGTATAGTTAAAAATATATTTTTGAAGGATGGTTTCTTTAATTCACCCGTGTCTCTTGACCGATTGCTAATCAAGTTACCTTTAGGTTCAATCAAATCATTTTCACCAATTCTCCCAACGAAAACCATACCAAATCTCGGATCATACATTAACAACATTTTTTCTTCTTCTTCTAGGGAAACCATTTTATATAAAAAATTTGCAAGCGTCGGAAAAACCGACCAAGATATTACAAGTTGTTCAATCAACAAATTTATTACTTATAAAAGTTGATCCTCCCCGAAAACAATATCGGTAAAAACAGGTAGTTGAATTTTTTTTTTTTATTGTTTATAGAAAGATTAGGTGTTATAAAGTTGGTACCATTATTTAGAATGTTGGTGTAACTGATGATAAGAGTGTTTATAGATTGTTATATAGATCGTTTCAACTGTATAATCATTTTCTTGTATACATTACGATAGAAATATGTAGTTTTTTTAAAAAGATTTCCCATAATTTAGATGATAAAAGTATAAGAACAAATAACAACATTACGTTAGATTATAAAGGGATCCTCATTATAAACTCTAGTATTTGGATTTTTGTGTTTGCTTAACATTATACAAAGTAAATTATTTACTGATTCAGATAAGATATCACATGGAATGTAAAAGCACAAGTGGCGAATAGTACATATGTTTTTATCCCGTGAATACATATAAATTGATCCTCAATATACATTTCAATTTTGACTTTACAATCTCATATAGTTCTCTCTTTTTTTTTGTTAACCAAAAGAAGAACAAAAATTGTGCTTGATTTTTTTTTTTTGTGCGCCAGAAACTATAGCAAATTAATTTAATTTTTCTCATTCCTGTCGTCAATGCTAAAATTTCAGAAAATATTGATATGTTTTCTATAAATGGAATACTCATATCTGAATTTGGGTTGAAATGAATATCGCTGGACAAATTATCAGTTAAATTTGATCCAATTTGGTATTCGTCTCGATTCTATTCGAAAAATCCGGATATCCGTTTTGAATTAAAGCGAAGCAAATAATAAAATTTAATATCCGTCTAAATTGAACCAAATCACAAATACTAATTTTAAAAAATCCAAATATCCGATTCGATCCGTATATTACTTATACATACATATAATATGGTAGATTTATAACGTATATTTATATTTTTTTACTTTTAAAGATATTTGTCGAATATAGTTATAGTAAAAATAGATAGATCTTCTAACTTTATTTGAAATATATTTCTTAAATAAAAAAAAATATATTTCATTTTTTACCGTTTTTAATCTTTCACTTTTAATTTTTTAAAAATTTATCGAATAAAATTAGACCCATTTAATATATTTATTGATTTATTAGTTTAAAACTTATATTAAATTTATTTTTTTGAAAAAGATATTATGGTGTTTAAAATTTTTTTTTTTTTTAAACAGATAACCGTGAAGATCCGGATATCCGCAAATATCCAGACTAATCCGGACATCCAAAAATTTTCGAAACAAAGCAAATCAGAAAATTAGATATCCGTCAAAACAAATCGAATTATAAATACTGTATTTTTTCCGGATATCTGATCTGCACCCAGGCCTAGAAATGACATTTTAGTTGATATTTATTTTGAATATTTTCATAGTAAATTGAGAAGTAGTTGCAGCGAATGACATTTTTGTACATATATTAGTTCATTTATCATTTGTGTTTCTTAAGTAGGGCAAATTTCACGTATTTATAAATCCAATATTCTTTTGCGATAATATTACGTTTTCTTAACATACTACATTTATTTTTTTAAATGGCATCGCATTTTTTACATCACAAAAACTCATCAATTAAAGAAAGTGTAATTTGAGATAGTTTGTTTTCTAACTGCGAAATCTGTTTAATTGAAAATCATTCAAAATTATATTTTCTCATAGTTTTCACTTGTGAATCAGTTTACTTATTTGAGTTATAGGCGTCTTGCTTAAGATATATGACACAACATTTACACGTCAAAATGATTTTAAATTATGAACAATAATACTACGTTCACCGCATTATTGAACGGCTATAATCTTTTGTCTTTTAATTTAAGATATCGTGAAAATCCTTTTTTATAATGTTTTTTTAGGACAATTGCAAAAATATTATTGTTGGTATGTATATTTGCAAAAATGTTATTTAGTGGTGTCCATTTACAAAAAATGTTACTAATTATTAATTTTTTAAAATCTAAATCTGAAAATTATAAAATCTAAAAAATGATTTGACTCATAAAATTCATAAACCCTCAAAACTAAATTTTAATACAATATAATTAATCCAAACGTAAATGATATAATGAACAAATAATTTTGAAAAAATGATGTTTTTGAAAAATTTTTAAAAATGACATTTTTGAAAAGTGATATTTGCTTTTTTTTTTCATGTTTTTTACTCTGGTTTTCTATTTTTTTACCCAACATTTATTTTGCGTTATTGCTATGTTTTCTTGTCTTTTATTTTCCATCTTTCCCTCTTAATAATCTACGTGGACTATTGACGACAACTTTAGGCCGGTGGGTGGGACCCAAAAGGGTCAGAAGACAGAAATATGGGTCCCATGTCTTGACTGATAATGACGTGGCGACAAGCTACTTCGATTGATTTCATTGTGCTGTGTCCGATCGCTGACACGTGATTGTATGCCAGGTAGGATTCCACTTGAAAGTGGGCCCACATTCTGATTTGCCACGTCAGATCAAATCCTCACACAATAGTTTCCTTTTTCGTGTGGAACTCTCTAAACTCTAATTTGAGTAAGACCACCTCCATTAGTGTAGTTTCTTACATAGGTATCTAATTTAAAAATAATAATATTTAAATG